GAAACTTCCGAGATGAAAATCTGTAGGTTTGAAATTAATGTCGCGTGCATCCCAAAATCAACGCGTACGTACGCAACATTCATGAAGGATGAATGAAATCAAGTTAGAGGGGCCACCATCTGCGCTAGAGCATAAGAAATTATACATAAAAATTAAATGCGCAAAAATCCTGAGCGGGACGGACGTCTTAATTGTTCCGATCGGAGGATCTGCGGAATATAATGTTGGGAGAGGAGGGTGGGAAATGAGGGAGCGTGTGAGACGAATTGTGGGGAGAAGAAAAGAAGAACAAGAGGGAGTGGAATTGCTTGTGATCCAGAATTAGAAATAGGAGCATGTGATGGGTAGAAGAACGGCATGCGCTGGCTGTTATTGTGAAGATGAAGTGAGGTTTGAGGAGTGAATGCGAAGAGAACAATGGGGCTCCAGAGAATATGCTTCTGCATTTGGATGTTCCTTCGGGACTGCCTCAAAGTTGAATCAACACCCCCTCCCGGCACCCTTATCAAAAATTCATCAAAAAAAATAAATGATATCTGTATACAATTAAAAATATACGGTCTTATGGAAGAGAAATCTGGATCACATATTTGGGCCGAAGAGGCAGAGAAATTGAGCCCCCGGGATTATTAAAATTGGTTTATCCGGGCCGGGCTGGCTTACCGACTTCATCCAACTACCGATTTTCATCTGGCCCGGTTCCCCCTGTCATGATCATTTGCTTCCGTCTCACAAGTATTTATTAATAAAATGGAGTGTTCATATTCTGAATAAACTATAATATTCTACCTATTTCTTTTTCGTTTCGAGAAAATTATCCCACTTGTGTTTGTGTGCGCGCATATCAATCCCGACACACTTTGATGAATAAGGGGGTGTTTGGCAATTTTGGAAAGTGCTTCTCAGGAGCACTTTTCAGCAAAACGATACAAATTTCTCTATATATTTATTTCGTAAACTGTAAAAGCACTTTTGAAATGAAGGTTTGATTTTCATCCAAACACTTCCTAAATGGAATTTGTGATCTCCTACTTCTCACGTTTGTCACTCCAGGTTATTTTCGTTTTTTTATGTATATCTATTTAGAGTAAATCTATCACACTACGATTATTATTCACTTCTGAAATGGGGCGTTTCGTTGTTCATTAAACAATAATAAATATGAAGATTCTGAAAACTAAACGAAATAAACCACATCAATATAAAAACATGAGACAGATCACTGTGAATCGTACGCAATATGATTCATTCGATCATTCTTTTCTTTTCTTTTTTGGGCCAACGATTCATTCAATCATTCACGGGACTTTTAACTGTGGATTGCACGAGAAAATGTGTTTGCTGGGGAGTGCCCTCTCACAAATGTGATGCGTAGGATATGTTGCGAAGATTCAAGTGTTGCCAAACTAATTAGTATATATGCTCACATTCTTGTTGTACAATCAGCATTTGTGATTCATTGCAATATTATACATATACACATATATATATATATATATATATATTCTGCATGGATATGCCTCCATCTTCTTGGATCTCACAAATATAATGCAACAGGGCAGCCTTTCTTCTTCGTCAGAAAGTGAGAACCAGAGGTAGGACAGCACCATAAATTAAAGGCAGTGCCTTTCATGGAGGCCCTGCTCATTGCACGTCCTATTCATTAATAAATTAAAGCTTGCTTTGTCTGGAAAAGGACGCCATTAAATTCATAAACTTCACAGTACTCGAAGAATCTTCCATGCTATTTCCCCCTCCTCTACTCCAATTCCCTATTTAGTTACTAATCAGTTCTTCTTCTTCTTCCTCCTAATCATAAAGTGAATCCGTCTAACTTAATTAATCAGCAGCATCAGAAAGGAATGCGGATTGCACGAGCATCAATGAATACTAAATAAAGAGGGAGCTTTCTTATGTTCCAGACTTTGACACGGGTGCAAGAATATAATTAGTGTGGTTTTTAATAATAATAATAATAATAATAATAATAATTTCTGCCTCCAAATGATGAGTGGCCGCAATAGAAAGCATCATGCAAAACTTAAAAGATAAAGGCCCCTTTCCACAGCGGGCGAATTAATGATATAAAATTTCTCATAGGTCTGATCTCACCGTAATATATGATTCAACAAACCCCAGCAAATGATTTCTCATGGCTCTGCACAACTTGACGGTTCTAAATATATTACATATGTAGGATTTGAAAGCACACGGGCAGCCCATGATTTGCTCCGCACATATATACCCCATCGCCTTTAATTATTACACTCCTTCATTTCTACAACTGTTTATATATGTATCTTAATTTTGAATTGTGATTGGCCATAATCACATGCATGAACTGCTCCTGCACGAGTTCGTGTGTGTGTGTGTAATATTAATTAATTAACTCGTATCCGGGGAGCCAGAGGCTAATTAATACTCCCTCCGTTTCTTATTATAAGAGACATTTGATGCTTATGGCATGTTCCTATATATAAGAGACACTTAAAAGTTGTCTCTACTTTTTTGTGTTGATTTTCTGTTTTACCTATATTTATTATCTCCAACTCACACTCTCTCTCCCTCCTACTTCTCTTTCTTTTAATAATTTAATTGTTCTCTCTCATGCTCTCTCTCCTTATTAATGAGGGCATTTTTTGGAAAAAAAATTATATTTTTTACACATTGATTGTTCTTAACTAATTTTAACTGCTTTTTTATCAACGTCATTAGGCTATTTGTCTCTTATAATAAGGAACAGAGGGAGTAATATTCAAGTTAATTAAGGATGAGCATATATGGAGGCTCCGTGTTAATTAAAGCAAGCCTAATGTAATCATGGTGTCCTCCACTTGTTCCCCATAACAATAAACAGTGAATTGTTTTCAATTGTAATTAATATATGCGTCGCCATCAGTGTCCAAAGGTGCGGGAAGGCGTAGGTCATAACGTAGCTTATTGAATTATCCTCTTATCATATGACGGTAACAAAACTAGTAAAAATATTATCTTACAGCGTTATATCGTCGATTAGTGTAGAATAAAATGATCAAGTTGCGAGGATCGGAGAGAAGACTAAAATTTTTTTAGAATTTTAATGTTTTAACTTTTAATATCTCTCAAAATTCAGAGAGCTTAGTTCTGCTTTTAATTTGCATCAGCGTTCACGTAATTGAGGGTACCCAATATATACCAAACATGTACGATCGTACATGGTTGCCAAGAGCTCCCTTTCATGTTCGGTTTGTGTAATTTAAGTGGATTCCAATGCAATAGTGTTGGTGCGCATGGATTTCAGCTGTGACTCCATTAGTATAATATACGGGCGACCAACAACCAGCTTTGCAGCTCGCAGAGGCCAGGTTATGTATTTGAGCTCATTCATTATTTTAGCTCGCAGGTGGGATACACACACACACACAGAGACATACATATTGAGTATACGATTTATTTTCTTTGCCCTTTTTTTCGGGGTCCAAGGAAGAACATGTGAATGAAAGGGACCAAAAAAAGAATACAAGAGCTAGCAGCCACGATTATGCGGCTTGGCAGTTTCGGTCGCGACAAGTTTTATTTATTTGTTGGATGAAAAATTGAATAAATAAAAGTAGTACGTACACGACGTAGCAATTGATAGGAGTGAGTGGAATACACATGGGATGGGATCTAAAATAATGCGCAAGTGCAATTAGAAAAAAGGATTATAATAACGGGCGACTGGGGGGAGCTCCATGTGATGATGGTGCAAGCTTCACTCATTTTTGTGTTTTTGTGTGGCCGCATTATTCGCAGTATATAATACTCCTGTAGCCATGCATCTTCTTCGTGTGTGTCTTACACGTGTGTCCTGGCCCCACATGGATGATGCCGCTTTAATTGAATTTAATCAAACAACACGACGCTTAATCAGTGGATTAAGGCATCCGCAATTCATTAAATTGCGCCCCGCGGTGCAGTTGGGGGGCCGCCCTCTTTTACTCATTTATTTTTAATTACTAATCCGAATAAAAGCCCTGCTTCTTTAATTACTTTACTGGTTTTTAGCAACATCTCCAGAACCCCCACACTGTTCATGATTTTGTCCATTATCTCCCACTCTTTTGTCCAAATTCTTGGAGCATATAATTAATAGATTCATTTCTAACTCATTTGAAAAGTATAGGGATCGATCAAATGTTTAACGTTCCCAGGTAATTATCCTGCAAGTATATATACTTCACCTCAATTTTCCCTCTTTCATTTCTAAAATTAGTCGCCACGATTATAATGGCTTGGATATATTCTATCCGATTATTACTGTATATGTACACACCACCTATGGCCTTAATATATTAAAAGTTAATATATTCAAAGTTACTTGATTAATTTAAGTAGATTAAGAAATTTTGTTAAGTTAGTTATTTCTAGTATAAATAGGTTTTATCTTTCATAGAATACCCTTGCCAATCATGTATATTAACTAAAACTATCATTTGATAGAATTTTTAACATGTTTAACTACTATAAGGACTATTTTAAAAAAAACTGATAAGTATAAGAGACAAGATGAATTTAAGTCTTATATTTAGAATCAAATTGAAAATCAAACTACTTTTTATCTTAAAGACTGAAAGCAATATATATTATGTAAGGTGGTTATCATTTTGAAACCCACAATGCTGATGATATAGAAACGCGTGTATGCTTGGATTATATCCGCATTTGCGCCGAGTATATAGTATAATTAATAGTAAATAAAACTAAAGTGATTTTATTTGTTTGCCTCCTAATGTTTTCTAATTACTCTAAAGAAGGATTGATGTTCGTATCCTATATATCCTCTTCTAGAAGGTATAAAAAGTGTAAATATTAAGCTTTGTGATTAAAAGATAACAACAAATTTTGGCATCATAAATGATATAATAATATCCCCCTCTAATCCCCCATTAAAAAAAAAAACAGAAAAGATGTTATGACTATCGCAGAGGAAGGAAAAGATAAACGGAAGGAAAAAAACAAAATGCTACTATGTATATAAACGCCAAATGTGGGGAGAATGCCAAAACATCTCTGTCTCGTAACATCTTTCCTTCACCATCCGAGAGGGAGAGATATGGATTCAGCGACTCCACCGTCGCCGGAGCTCATACTCGACAGGCTAAGAACGCTCAAGGTCGTGGGTAAGGGAGCCATGGGTACCGTCTTCCTCGTCAACGACATCGTAGCCGATCCTTCTGCTCGCTGCCCCTTCGCCCTCAAGGTCGTCGAGAAGTCCTCCTTCCACAACAAGCTCGACGCGGAACGTCGTGCCCGCTGGGAAATCCATGTCCTCTCTCGCTTGACTCATCCGTTTCTTCCCTCCCTTCTAGGGACCTTTGAGGACCATCAGTTCTTGGCCTGGGCCATCCCTTACTGTCCGGGCGGCGACCTCAACGTCCTTCGTTACCGTCAATCTGATCGGGTCTTCGCCCCTGCCGTCATTCGCTTCTATTTGGCAGAGATCATCTGCGCTTTAGAGCACCTTCATGCCCTGGGCATCGCCTATCGTGATTTGAAGCCGGAGAATGTCCTTGTCCAGCAGTCCGGTCACGTGACTCTCACGGACTTCGACCTGTCTCGCCACCTCACCCCCAAAACCATCAAAACCGCCATCGCCGTCGAGCAAAATCTGTCCGATAACCGAAGCAAGCATCGCCGGAATTTCACGCGATGGATTCCAGTCCCGTCGGACATTATTCACCACAAAAGAGGATTGGTGAAGGCCAAGTCGGCCCGAGTCATCCCGGTGAGCAGAAGGAAAGCAAGTTTCTCAAATGGTGAGCGTTCTAACTCGTTCGTGGGCACAGAGGAGTACGTTTCGCCCGAGGTCGTCCGCGGCGAGGGACACGAGTTCGCCGTCGACTGGTGGGCCCTGGGCATATTGACGTACGAGATGCAGTACGGCACGACGCCGTTTAAGGGAAGGAATAGGAAAGAGACGTTTCGTAATGTTCTGATGAAAGCGCCAGAATTCGTAGGGAGGCGAACAACATTAACCGACCTGATTGAACGGCTGCTGCAGAAAGACCCCGCAAAGCGCTTGGGTTACGCGCGCGGTGCCAGCGAGATCAAGGAGCACGAGTTCTTCAGAGGGGTCCGGTGGGACCTACTAACGGAGGTCGTGCGGCCACCGTTTATTCCGTCAAGAGATGATGGGGACCGGACGGGGCGAAGAATGAGCGGCAGCGGGGCGGACATAGGCGAATACTTTGAGAGATTAAGAACGCCGGCGTCACCGGAGAAAGGACGGAACATATCCGTAACAGAATTCTAAGGCACGTGTAGGAAGGGGGAAGGATTAGTTATTGATTTGAAGGGTACATAGAATAAGGGAAGGAGGAGAGAAAAGGGTTAGGGAAATTAGTGAGGGAAATGTGATAGTAAATGATAGGGGTTAGGCGTACACTGCGGTTGTTTAATTTGTTAATACGTGAAAACAATATCTTCAAGTGTGCGTGAGAGCGCACGCACGCACGCGATCTTGTTTAACATTTTTTTAATGAGATGCGCTGAGGTGAGGATGGTGATATATAATTGATATTAGAGGGTATAATTATTAATTATTGTTTGAACCGGAAAAAGGGGGTGATTATATTAAAGAAAATGGAGGTGCGGTCGTGGGGTCACATGGAGCGCCAATTATTCAGAATCATAGGCGTTTCAAAATATTCCGCTCCTTTTTCACAATGAATGGCTAGAAGCAGGAAAGGACTCTAAAGGGTGCTCTCTTTCTGTGAGCAGAGAATTATTAGGAGGAGGAGTGGTTTTAATATAAATATAAATGTATATATAATTTAATAAAAGGGACCGATCGGGTACGTAGTCGTCGTAGCTTAATTAATATATGTATATGCTGATGATAGAATTAATTGTGGTAGCTTAATAAAAGAAATAATTAATTAAATGCGAGTAACCTTATGTGGGTAATGATGAGCAGGCAAATTAAAGGTGGCAGGAGCAAAAGAAAGGGGGATTGTTATGATGAGGGGGAGGGACAAAGAGTTCTAAAATGGCGGGGCACTAACAGATAATAGCCCCTCCAGGCCAGAACGTACCTTTTTGTATAATTAGTTTGGGTTACTTGGTGTGAACGGGGATGTCAATGGGGGAAGCCACCAGTTAATATTGCCACCAGAAATGTAGAAGAGTCGAAGATGGAAGAGGGAAGCATATATGTGTAATAATATTAGACGATCGATGCAGAAGCTACGGCAGCAAATGGGAGAGCTTCTTTTAATTTCAACATTCGATGGGCTTCAACGTATGACACAACCATGTCTCTTGTCTTTTCTTCACTCACTGCCTTTCGCCTTTCCCATCCCAAAATTATTACAAAGTCTCTTTCAATTTTACGAGTCATCACCAACAGTCTCCCACTTACATACGCGCTCCCTGTCCGATTCTTAACCTGTATTATTATTCTCTCTGTTCTAACCAATGGAGTCGTTTTCAAACTGTACCCTCCACTCCTATATATATATATATATATATATATATATATATATATATAACGCAAATAAGAAACAAGTAATTGAAAATATTTATTTTTCATAAGTACATCACAAACTCTAATTTTTTCCCCAAAAATTTTGATCGACCTATATTTAACCTGTATTATTATTCTCTCTGTTCTAACCAATGGAGTCGTTTTCAAACTGTACCCTCCACTCCTATAAATATATACTCCTCCGGTCCTAATTATAAGACCCAATTGACTTATTTGAGGAGATTAAGGAAGCAAGTTAAGTTGGTTATTTATAATAAATAAGTGTTGTCATTCTTAAAATATCTTTACTAATTAAGTATATTGGCTAAACTATCATTATTAGAAGGATTATCTTGGAAAAAAAAATGCATAAATATAAGAAACAAAATGGATTGGGTCTTATAATTAGGACCAAATAAAAAGTCAAATTGGGTCTTATAATAAGGACCGGAGGAGTATATATATATATATATATATATATAACGCAAATAAGAAACAAGTAATTGAAAATACGTATTTTTCATAAGTACATCACAAACTCTATATTTAATTTTGAAGACAATTTATATTTAGATCAAGATAAAGTTCCCTAAAGCATCTTATAATAAGTTTGGAGGGAACACACACACACACACACACACAATTACTTTTCACTGTTTTCCGCACCCCTTGCCCATCTTTATCTCTTCCCAAGTATTTGATGACTTATAAGCATCTGGTTGTCCGTGAGGAAAAAGCAGGCATTCATGAATCCCATGTAACTACTCTTCCTCTGCTTCAACATAATCACTTGTTTGAGAGATTGTAACCAGATAGAATGATGTTTCAACATATCCTTATATCAAATTAAGTACCTGGATGTTTATAGCACTGGAACTCCGTCTACTGTAATTAAATATATATATGTAGTTTCATCATCATCATGAAAAGTAAACAATAAGTAGCAATATTTTGTTTAGTTTAAATCATATATAACCAAATTCATTAAAGCAACAAGGAATATGGAAGGGGTCAAATTTTGCAGGAGGAACGATGAATAGAGTATAATAAATGCGTGGACATTTAAGCAACAAGGAATGGAATGGAATGAATGAAGGCGTTTTTGAGCTTGAGTGGCAGCACAGATGAATGCCTTGCTATAATATAGTTCCAAATTCCCATGGCATCTTCTCTTTACTCTTTACCACACACGTACAGCACAATTAAGCACGACCGTCCAGCTCCATCAAATAATATATGTTTGAATATATGCATATACAATTTTTGTCTCAAACACGTTTCATCATTTAATTTCACCCGCTTCGCATATTCGAATATTCTGTGCTTGTGTATGCTTGCTCCATCTCTCTCGCATCAAACGCCTTATATTTATATAGTCGAGAACAAGCATGTCTGGAGAGCAGGAGAACGTAACGTCCTTAATTACATGTATTGCCAAAGGGCGAAATTAAATATATGTATAATAACTAATAAGTGTGTGTGTGTATATATATGTGTGTGGGTGTCTATGTTTGAGAGAAGATGTAGCTGCAAATTAAAGTAACCTTGTCGAACACCAATTTATCTCGAAAAGACGATTCAGTAATCAAATCCAATAATCTCAGGAGTGGTTCTATAGTTAGTTAATTATTCCTTGAGCTTGTGTAATCAATCTCAGTATACATATATTTCATGTCGAGAGAAGGAGAAATATATAAACACACATATATAGATGCTTAATATATTTTGCCATCATCCTCCATGTTATTTGAAATTAAAGCAATATGATAACGCGAGGATTCTGTTATCTCTAATCTTGTATTTGTCCTTCCCATAATTAAACAACCAGATATATATTACTTTGTGGAGCCTTCCCTTTAGTGTCATATGCATAATTGATTTGAAATTGTAGGTAGAGGTAGGTTGCGTGCAGGCGTCAGCCATACACAAAACACTCCACTTCGTCTTCAAGTATCGGCAACATCGGTTCCAAATATACAGAATTATGGAAGGAGAAATAATAGATGTGCGAGAGATGATGAAACTTTTCCTCCTCCCAAAGTTTCGGATTCCTCTGTTTTTGTCTACCTGGATCTCTTTTAAGTGGGCTGCTCATCTTCTTAATTATTAATTGCTGTTTTTGCCGTTTTTCTGTTTTTCATTATAAGACAAGCGCGCGCACACACACACCCCCCCTTTGTTTAATCTCAAAATAGTACTGTAATCAGCCTCTGTATACATAGCAAGGAGAGCTGGGACATAACAACTCATGCCAATATAAATCAAGCTGGAATTAATGAGCTATAATGGCATGTGGCCTTCACGCAAACATATAGGAGCTCCTCCAGATATCTGTGCTCTTCACCTCCTGTTTAATTTTCCTTTCGTTTTATGTTCTTCACCAAACCCATCTTCACATCATGATGTCTTGATGATCAAACTTGATATAGCAAGTGTTGTATATAGTGTGAATCGTTTGTGAGTGGGTGGCAATATCAGGGTTTAATTTTCATTACGCACTATGTTTTTGTCGTATAGAAAATTTATGATGACATAATATTACACCGTTAAAATTTACCACAAAACTCTAACAAAATAATCCAGCCATGCTCCCACCCCTCTCCTTTAATTGATGCGGCACCTACCATCTGCTTTCCTCTTCAGCCTTCACGTGACCTGTCCGCCATCTACTCCCCCTTTTCTTATCCACTCATTTTGTCCCCTTTCTATGTTCTTACATTAATTAAGCTCCAAAACAGTGATTCAAAGCCTTGCTAGCCAATGGTTGTGCTTTGTTTTGGATTTCAACGATCTTGCAAACTGGGAGGCCTAAGGCCCGGATTACAAGTTACAACTCATCATTTTTGTACTATCTTCCATCCGATAACAAATACTTGTAATAATATGGTAACATATTTATCATACTTTAATTTGAAAAATATGAATGGTTTGTCTTTTCTCCCTCATCTTATTTATAAGTTTTAAAACTTTTTTTGGTGAAATATTTATAAGTTTTAAATTTAGAAATGAGTATGGTTTATTTTATAAGTTTCAACTTGATTTTGTTTTAATATTTTATTTATTTATTTTATTTTGTCTTTAATTATCTATTTTCTCTCCTATCACATTTCACAATACGTTTCCTTTTATGATTTTTTTTACTTATTATAAGAATATATTTTAAAATAAAAGTACATTTCCAGCCTATTTATTACTTTTAACTAATTTAATAGTTTTTTATTCATAAATTATATATTTGAAAAGCGAATATCATTTTTCCTATGTCACTTTGAAATTCTTAATATTCTATTACAAGCCATAACCCGGGAGACAAACGTAAGCTCTGAAGTTAAGGGAAAACGAAAAGTAAGGAATTTCAACGGAGGAGTCAACCTTGAAAGAGAGGCGCATGAGGACTTTGATGGATGGATGTTGGATGCATGTGCTGTGGAAGTGTCGGGAGAAGAAAGATATAATAATTAATTAATTACGTAGGTACGTAGGGAGGATGGGACAGAGGAGAGGGGGCTTCTAAATTACATGCAAAAAGAAACACAGTAAGTATTGACGACAAACGAAAACAAGAAGAGTAGCTAGCTAGTAGCAGCGTTTGAGAGGTTTGCCGCAGAGGCAATCGTTGGAGACGAAGGAGGAGGCTTCCAGATGGTCAAAGGGGGCCCCGCTGGGGATCCTGCCGCACAAATGGTTGTGACTCAAATCCAAGTGCCCTATGTAGCCCGCCCTCGACACCGACTCCGGGATGCCGCCCTTCAGATTGTTATACGACAGGTCCAGCACCGTGAAGTAGGATCTTGCCCCGAACGCATTCGGTATTGTGCCCGACAGCCCGTTCCTGCTCAGGTTCAGATCGCTTATCCCCGAAGTGAACAGGCTCTCTGGGATTCTGCCCCACAATCTGTTCCCGTCCAGATTCAGCGTCGACAGAACTCCCATTCTGCCCACGCACTCCGGGATGGGCCCCGTTATCTTGTTCCGCGATAAATCCGCATCCGCCAGCCGATATATTTGGCAGATGGAAGTGGGAATCGTGCCGCTCAGCTGGTTCCCGCTCACCAACGCCCTGCTCAGCATCCT